ATATATATATATATATATATATATATATATATATATATATATATAATCACCAGCGATGTGACGTCAAGGGATATCAGTTTTTGTTTGCTCCCAGCTCTAATTCGCTGACTCGATCCAGGAATGTAGCAGAACTTTTTATGTTGTTATATTCTGGAATGGATGGGTGTCAAGAACTACTTGTCCAACTAATATTTGGGAGTAGTTGTTGGAGCCACAATGAAACCTAGTAGGATGTCACTTTTGTGCAGTGAATAGATAGTCAAACCCCACGGGTATCAGACGAAGTGCTTAGATTCCAAAAACTGCGATATAACATGTTTACCAGTAGTTTATAAATTTAGGTAGCATGAAAAATCAATGGATGTGTTTGTGGCAAAATATATTTGATCGAGGGAAATGAAATTATTTCTGTTGCTTGTTCCCATTATTCATTTTTACCCGTTAGTATCAAAGTGTTGTGAAGTACTCTTCACTTTTGAGTAGTACGTAACTTTCGATGATCACAAATATAAGAAGACCATCAGGGGCCAGGTAATACGTTTGGAAGAATAACTACTGACTGCTCTATACATTACCCTGTGTGTCCGAGAGAATTGCGATTGCACGTTTCTGATTAGGTTTTTGCGTTATGCATGCAAAATTACTGACCTCGCATCTGTAATCCGCAATAACCGAATATCCTCGACTAGCACTGACTTTTGGAATAATAACACAGGGAGTTAAATTCTTTTACGATGCGCTCAGCTTTAGAGATGGACAGTGCCTTTGCCCTGAGCTTTTATGCTCCTCTGCTACTCACATGCAACAAGTAGTCGGGTTATGAAACCTTCCAACCTAGTCATAACCCCGGAGGCTAGTGCTGAGATGAGCGAGGCGTGATGCCCGCAATAAGCTCGAAGAGACGGGTTGTGCTTCATCATGTAAATGTAAAATGAAAAAAGCGGTCTGATCAGCTGCGCAGGGGCCCAGTGAGTAGAATGTTTACGTCCTGCCTGTGAGATCCTGGGTTCGATCCCCAGTTGGGTTGATAGATTTGCATTGCTAATGAGACCTAACCAGATCGAAGCAGTTGAACAGTGCTTCCTAGTTTTCAGTTCACGCTTCATTTGCTCCATACACGACGAATTCCTTCTAGGGAAAGATCTATTTATCCCGAAACTACTTAACTTTCTTCAAGGTTATTTTACTAACCCAAATGTCTTATTTCAATTCTAAATGTCGTCCCATTCAATCGCAGTGTGTGAATCAGGTTTGTAGTATCCGCCGTGATCTAAAACGGGTTTTCCATTATGTGATAACGGAAACAGGGAACGATTGACGATTTAGACTATATCGTACATAAGTCTTGTAATACTTAATTCGGTGATAAAACTGTATTGAAAAAAACTCACACAGTTGAAGACGGGTGTACGAGGAGTATTGACATCCGTTTCAAACTCTGATTGTTCGCCGTGCAATCTATTTCTCCTTCTGGTGAAAAATGCATATAATAGTGTCTGTAGATAATAACTCCTTCGTTCTTTCGGGTTTTTTCGTTGCCAGTGTATACTGAAATTGCTCCATACATTCATAATGACCAGCGTTGATCGACAGCAGTACTGCCTTTATTAATCATGAACTTGGTGACTAATAAAGCTCACCACGTGATGCTACAACGTGATACACGAAATAAAAGTGCGTCTCCCAATCACAGTACACCGTTATGACCCATGTAATTGTCGCGATGACCTTTTGGTCAGTAACTTGTGCAGTTTCATCAGTCCAATAACCTCACTTATTTTTCAACCATTCACAAGAGCGCGTCAGTGCGATGGCCATTATCGATCAGTTGGATATTTGACATATTACTCCAAAAACTCGCTTAGCAGCTAGGAAAATCGCAATTGTCGTTCATCAGTTTGCAGAACTACGTTAGTGCGGCAAAGCTCATCGATCCACTGAATTGTGTTTCTATTATTGAGTTTAATATTAAGGCCACAAACATGGCCGGGGCTTTGGTGTCTTTTGACATTTATTGCAATTTCTGGGAGTTACTTGTAATATAAAGCTGTTTAATCAGGACCGAAAATATGACAATAGGCATAATGATTGTTCGCTGGATCAGTGCGATAACCCCATTCCAAACCGTTCATTGCGTCACCTGATACCGTCAAAGCTTTTCACGTGTACCTAAACAGTAATATAAGACTGTAGTTGTTTGTCTTTTTGTAGGATTGAGGACTGACTGTGTCAAATCAAGAGCAAAACCTACCTTTGGAAGCATTGAATTCACAGTGGCGCATTCTTTTGCTAGTTCAATCGCCTTCTTACAAACGGTGCTCTATACTATGGAAAGTTCGCCGTGATTTTCCCTTATAGCAGTAAACCATACCAAGGTTACCTCGTTACCTGACGACAAACTGTCGGAGGTTTTCATGTGATATTTTTCCTAAACTGCACCAGCGTTGACCAATTCCCGGCGAATTGTTGAATTGCATGCAATATTGTGAACATTTTTCCTTGAAACACAAGGCGCTTTTGCGACAGAACTGTGAGCTACATCTGGATGATTCAGAATTTCCAGCACGTTGTGTTTTTCACTGAGAGGCATTTGCACATTGTCACTGCTGGTATCTGTTTACCCTCCATTCAGTGAACAGTATCATATGTACGTCTTACCAGGTGAAACGTCATTGAACAAATTCGACATTGCATGTTGATTGAACAGTGGATAACCCAAACATCGGCCAACGACCAAGTGAATATTTATAAGAAACTGTGCCATACCGTAGAGGAGACATTGCATAATCAGGACATACGTTATTACCCATACGTTTGGTTAGGGTTTTCATTGATGCGACGTAGTAGGAGATTGGCTGTATTGCATCGCATGGCGCGAATCAACCGTATTTAGTGAAGGTTCGCGTACTGACCTGGGGTAGAAACCTGCCGTTCTCAAAAATCAAAACGTTTGAAAACTGAAAAATATGAACATACGTTTACTTTCCATCGTACTTCCATGTCTACTGACAAACCTGGAGTTTGAAACACTAAACCCTTTTGTAACTACCGCCTTGTACCCAAATCTTATACATCGACCGTTAATCCGAGGTGGAATTTCCCGTGTACTTGATTCCTTTTCTCCCACCATCTCACAGGAAGAACAAGTTTCACCGCGTGCAGTTGCTGTCGATTCCCCGTCCTCAAAAATGCTCCAATTCCTTCGAAAACATTACGGATTGACAAATCCAATATTTGCCTCGAACAATTATGTGATTTTTCCGGGATTTTTCGAACAACAGAAACTGACCTCAAATGTCGAATTGAGTCGACTATCCTCCGCCGAGGAAACTCCGGCTGCTGTTTTGATCAATTCACCAAGAACGATCTCCCCGAAACAGACAAGCCCATTGGAGCGAAGTAATTTCACGATTCCGCACACTAGAGTTCATGCCATGCCCACTAAACTGACCGTTATTAAGCCGTACAAAGACGCGGAAGAACTTCCCGTCATTCATAAACCCAGTGATAATGTGGAACGGCCACATGTGAGTTCCAAAGGTAAAACAAATATAATTGTGGATCCTTCAAAAGAACGAAATCCGAACGAATTTCCAAAGAGCGAGGTTTCTGACACGTAAGTAAACACTGAAAGACAACGGAAAGAACTAAATAGAGCCCCACATTTGATTGGTTGATTACGCGTTTCTACCGATTGAATGTCAATGTGAGAGCATTTATTTCCATAACTACATCGCACATCGAATAAAAGTGACACAGATAATCAAATGAACTAGGGTAAATAATTTTTGCATCATGATCACTTTTGTATTTGGAATGATTCTTCTGACCAATTTATCGCTAATCGGAAAGTGAAAATGTCCGAACAGCGTACGACAAAAAGGGAGAAATGTAATGAACAAAGGTGCGGAGGTAGGGGGTATTCAATATTCGTGTGTCTCCCGTACTGTTACTTTGACTTGACTGACTGAATGACTTAAAGTATGGGTTGTTAATTATACTACCATATTCATTCGAAGCCAAGGAGGTGTTTGACTTTAACGACTCTGTTCGAAAGTTTGACTTTTCTAACCCATAGTGATGGATTTGCTTGATTATTTACTTTTGTTTATTAATTCATTTTTACTTTTCTTTGAGCAACAACGAAACAGTGTAACTGGAACAAGCTACGAGTTCNGAGTTCACAAATGTAAACAACTGTGCACTCTAAACTTAAAAAATTACCAATTAAGAAGCTCTGAAATACAAAATAGTCAATAATCAAAAAGTTGTACAAACATACATAGTTTAAGGAGCATTAACAGGAGCCATTTTTCGGCAACAAATCAGTTCAGTGCTCAACCATTGTAAACTGGTAATCTCGGGTCTAAGGTGAGGGAAAAAACAGGACTCCACTGCCACAATAGTATTTAAACCCTCATTTTCTTCTGTTTGGTGGGTTGACATTTTTTAAACGGAAATCGATATGGCTCGTACCTTCCAAACAATTATTTTGAGTAAATTAATTTTTTTCCGTTTGTCACATGATGCAACCATAGTTACGCAAAAGTACAGTACACGGACGGTGTTATGGTTGAATGAATGGGCTTCCGCTGGACACCAAAAAAATACAGTGAACAAAAGTTAACTAATGGAAAAATACTGGCACTGTTCTCTTTATGTCCTTTCAAAGAGTTGAAAAGGTGATTTAGTTTTGATTTAGTTTTGTCTACTCGATACAGGTTCCTTGTTTAAGTTATATCTCTGGAGTCAATTTCTTCTGTCTGTATACGGATATTGGTAACTTACCTGAATCATCAAAAGTTACTTGTCAGTCTAAGAAGATAATTTATTTTTCCTGATTTTCTATTGAAAGTTAAGGTTACTGCGGAAGTGGCTGACGAAATGTGTGTAAGGTTCCACAAAATCCCCAATGGTCACAACAAAGTTATCACCAGATTCTTGGTGGTTTTGGCATGGCTCCAAGTTTCCTCTCTTCAAGTTGGTTGATGAAGATATGTGCTACAATGGGTGAAATTGGAGAACCCACTTCCACTCTGTCAGTTTGTTGGTATAAAGGCTCCCTTAGAAGTCCAAAGAGTGGAATCCAGAGACACGGAATTAGCTTTGATGATTTCTTCTACATCCAGTGTGGTTCGGTCGCACAAAGAAGTATAATTTGGCTGGAGTGCTTTACGGTGAACGAGGAATTCTTCAAAGGGCATATGGGTAAAAAGAGGAACAACATCGCCACTTACGATCCACCGAGACTGATCTAGTTTAATTTATCAAATTTTGTGGGTAAAATGTTTGAAGCTTCTCATATACTGTCTATCATATTTTTAAGTAGTTGTACAATGCTTGTACGGTGTTTTAGAGAGCGCAGCTTGGAGTGCTTGTATGATTAGTTGTAGATCGTGTGGGAACGTCTGCTTTGTGAATTTAGGGTAAACCATAAAACATCTAAGTACAGATTCTTTTTGGATGGGATTGAAATCTGACGTACCACGGCATTGAATCTCGCCACACCACAAAACTCCTTCCAGACTCTAATCTCCAGTCATTTGTGACTGCATTTTTAGCTCTTTGGCCTCTTGTTCATTCTCCATTTAGTAAGACTTCATTTACTACCATATACACAAAGATTTTCTTTGTTTTCCCCAGACCAGTCAAAAACCACAACCCCTTTACACGGTTTCTTTCACAGTTTGTTTACTAATCACTTGTTAATTCACTTGAAAGGGAGGTTCAAAATATCGTCACCACCAAGTGCTGTTTTCGTTTTCTGGGCACACAATTTCTTCATTCACACAGGTCTCAAATTTGGACCTTAAGCTATGAATGAATGATGTTTTCATCACAAGCTAAATCCAGCGAAGGTAGATTGTAAAGGAATAGAGTTGAAAGTGCCACAAATTATAACTGGTGCTTTTGAAAGAATATCACTTTAGTTGATGGCCACTTCAGCTGTTAGATTTTACCGTTTGTTGTTCAGATAATGAGTGGTATTTGTATTAATATTTGTATAGACTTTCGCGTGGGCAGATGTCCGCATTTTAGTCAAAAATTACACATCATCGTATCGAAAGAAGGAAATAATACCAGCAAAGCATTTAACCTCTTAAGTTGCTGAGAAATTCAGAAGAAACATGCTGTTGGTTTGCAGGGATTCTAGCGAGATAGATAATTGAAGAATTTCTGTAGAGGTTACTGTAAGAGGGTAATAAACGATATTTGGAACGCGTGGATGAATGTGAGCGGCGTTTAGATAGATCACCATGTAAAGGGTAAATGGGGTCAGATAGGTTTTTTGTGCAGATGTTTTACATACGGATAAGTGACTATAATCCCTGACAAATTTTTAACTGTTTTCTTTGTTATGCGACTGATGGGTCTCACTTGACGAAAACAAATCTCTTCTAGCTTCATTTCATAGTCGGCAGGCAACTGCGGTTTTGGTCCAAAGCGTTTTTCCAAAGCGTTCATGCACCTTGTGGTGCTCTTTACTTTAATCGACACCGGTTGACTGAATACTGTCAGTTAACTTCACATTTTTTTGTTATCGATGGAAAGCGTACAATGATGCATTTTTGTCAGCTTTCTCATGTGATTCTGATGTCTTTTTGTCATGTGCTATGACTAACTCACTTGTGACCCAAGTCTTGAACCGGCTCGCCTACTGAACGTTAGATCACCAACAACTCCGAGTAAAAAATCGAGAATTCGCGAAACTCAGTGAGCGTTATTTACGTTTTTGTTCGGTTGGCTTGTTTATATTTGCTGTTTCAATCCCAGCTTTCTAAAAGAAGTTTCAATAATCCTCAATGAGGTTTTCACAGAAATCCGATCCAGTTCGATGCAGTTGATCTCCCCTTTGTGGTCTTTATACAATGGCCGAATCGGAAATATCGTGTCACTGACCAGCTAAACGTTGTGAACTGGGAACAGTGGACTTTAATTCCGAAACTTTGACACGATTGACAATGAATTAAGGCTTTCAAACTTGAACACATCCTGTAATAACTTGTTGAGAGTTGGCCCAAATTAGCTTTATTTTCAATCATATATCGCGTGGATACGATTTTGTGTGATTTAAGTTCTTTCAAACTTTCTGTGACACAATAAGCGACTGCCTGTCTAAACAATACAGTTCGACAGAATGTAAATCTGTACGGTTTTACAACATCTGTTACCAGTGTTTTGCGTTTTGATGTCCCTTTGAAATAGTAGATTGTATTTAATAGTTAATTTAGGGTGGTAATACCGAGTGTAGTTCACTTGCTACACTCATATAATACACGTGCGTCAGTGCAAACGTCATCTGACACGCGCCAGGGAATCCAATTTGTTTGAACTATTGCAGCACTACTGCCAAGCATTCGAAACATGCTTACCATGTGACCGATACGGAAAGAGATTTTCCAAATAAACGCATACAAGTTTCTGGAAATACGTTTTTTCCGGAGAGTACGCACCACCTGAGAACGTTTTCCCATAAAACTCAAATCAGCACATCGTGTCTGGATTCCAATTCGATCGAACCTGATGACTCCTGATGTGAATTAAACAGCTCTGTAGCTCTTTCAAGGTCTTTAATGTTCAATGACACTGTTTCCGCCTGAATTTTAATAAAGAAAATTTAAATTCCCAAGAAACTATAAATAAATCAAAATTTGGAAACATACCACAAGCAATTAAGAAAATTAGGTTGCTCCACAAAAGCAAAAAACAGAACACCATTGATCATGGATAAGGCAGCCATGAGACCAATTGTATTTTTAGTTATCTGACCCAATTTGAATGATTGCGTTTGTGCCTCCGCTGGGGTACGTACGCATGATGATTCGCCGTCAATTGGATTACGGGTCTCGAGCGTATGCCTCTGGAGATCTTTGACACCTATACTGGCGAAAAGTTTAGTTTCAACAACTTCCGGTTCTATCCATTCTTTGTCACTCAAAACGGAGGTATTTGCAAACTTCTTTCTTCGGTGTTCACCGTTCGTTCTGCGGGCAGTTTCCTTGTAATCGATTAATGGGAGTTTTATTCGCCTTTTTGGTTCACAGAGAAATGAAAGTAAACAAAATAAGACAAATAATTGAAAATACAATGAAAAATAAGGCGAATCAATAAGTGGATGAATACAAATAAATTTTGAGCCGGATTACTTGAATCACAAATGAGCTAAGTAGAAAGCTGCACTTCACAACCATGGCAGATGTGCAATTTTTAAGAAAATTCAGTTAGCGATTAACTGTAAACAAGTGTACTTCAAAGAAACTTTCCATTTAATTTAAGTGCTGCCCAACAATCCATGTAGCTATCTTTTCCACATGGAACTGCATGGGCGTCAACCCACTCACCATACCGGGTGTGTTTCTTCCTGATTACCAAGATACGGAGTCCTCCAGAACCAAAGATATGGTTCGAAATTTTTCAAAAAGTGTTATGCATCCGTGTAAAGATGCACATCATTCCGGTGATATTTCTTTAAAACCATGATGTGCTTTCGACGGATTGTGACAGAGTTTACTCCCATTCAACCGGCTTCTTGTTTTCTATGTCGCTATAGATATAAGCACTGATTATATCACCTCGATTGCAAACTATTTACCCGGGCATGGGCGTGCGTGAAGATAAA